ACGCTGCAGGACCCGGCTGCCTCTTCCCATCACAGCAGGAACAGGGATGCAACCAGCCCTCAGCGTCTCCTCCAATCCCTCTGCACCCCAACAGCACCAGGGGTCACCCCATCTGCACCACGCACCCCAAACCCTCTGCCATAGCCCGGGATAAGCATGACTGGGGCCGTGCTTCCAGCCACAACGAGCTCCAGTCCATGTGCTAGGGATGTCCAAGGTGGGAACTGGCCCTGACCCATCAGTATCCCACACCCAGAGCAGCATCTTGATCCCAAACTCCATCCAGAAGGGTGCTCTCATCTGCTTTTGCTCTGGAATTAAGGATATTTGTTCCACAGCAAGGGAATCTCCCTGATGCTCATTGCAGGTGGGAATGAGAGGAAGGAGCAGAGAGGGACAGGGATGGACTGGTGGGGGTGAAGTGGAGGCTCCTTGGCCCTGGAGCAAGGTGTCCCCAAAGGAGCATCCTCCAACACATGGAATGGGGTAGAGATAGCTCTGGTCTCCTTGGAAGCACCAAGAAGCCCCCTTGGAAGCTGCTGGGAGGTTTCCCCCCATTCCCGGGAAGTGCTGCCTGGGATGGATGGGACATGGAACCCATCACTGGGCATCCCTTCATTGGGCATCCCTCTCAATGCCCAGCACCCAGCTAGAGGGTGGGAAGCCAGAGCATCGGGTTTGGGGGTCCTGCCCCAGCATTGGAGAGCTGTCACCAAACCCAATTCCCATCAAAACTGTCATTTTAGGAAAGAATTCCTCTTAAATTATATCCCATTGGAGCGTGCTGAGAAAAAACTGGGAATGGCTCTGGGAAAACCCAGCCCTTCCGCAACGTTTAGAGCTGAAGTGCTCATAGAATGGCTTGGGTTGGAAAGGACCTTAAAGCCCATCTAGTTCCAGGATGGCTGGAGGGATGAAGGGATGGAGGGATGGAATCCTCCTCGGGACACCCCCATTTCCTGCATGGTTTAGCAAAGGGGCTTCCAACAAAGCTCTGGGAATTCAGCTTTCCCTGAGGACTGCAGAGACTCCAAGAATCAGGATTAGCATTAGGGTCCTCCCTGCCTCTTGTGCTTTGGGGTACCCCAGCCCACAGCTCCCACCATCAGGCTCTATGAGTCTCACCTCCTCCTTTCCTGCTGCTCTCCCCATGAGGGGACAACCTGGGTTGGTGCAACCATCGCTGCCCTGTTCTGCTGCAGGACTGGTGGTTGATAACACCTCAATGGGTGATTTATCTTTAATAGCATCATCCTAATTGCTGGGCTATAAATAGAGCTTCCCACCCCTCATCTGCCCCAGCTGCTGCCCCACATGTGCTTTGGGGGGTCACAGACCTGCAAGCTCCATGCTGTGAGTACAGGATGCTATGGGACCCCGGCAGTGATGGAGCCATAGGAACCTCTGTCAAGGATGCCCCAAGAGTCTGTCCCTATGGAGGTCTATGAGACCTGCTGTGATGGAGCTCATCACGGTGAGGGAACACCAGGAGCTTCCCATGGGATTTCCAGCAACCAGGCAAGCAAGAATCATGGGATGGTGGTGTTGAAAGGGACCTTAAAGCTCTTACGACAAAGCTTCTGCTTTGCTCTTGCCCTTACAAGGATGCAGGATGCTCAGACCTTGCTCCACTCCGTACCCCACCATCCTTGTACAGATGCTGCACAGGAGCCCCGGAGCTCACCGGGATGTTCCAGGAGGTGCATGCATCCCAGAGCATCGCTCCTTGGTCGAGGACACCGCTATATCCCAAGCTCCTGCCTTTGGGAATGGGTGAACCACCTCCTGGCAGAGGGACAAGGCTCGGAGCTGGGTGCAGCCAAGCTCCCGGGTACCCAGACCTCCAAAGGAGCCCTTGTTCGTGGTGTCAGGCCTCTGGCCTCACAGGAACGAGGGCAGGAAGGGCTGGCACAGACCCAAGGTCACTTGAACCTGAGCCTGGCACTGAACTCCTGCCCCAGGGAGCAAATCCCCTCATCCAGCCCATCCCGCCTCCCATCCTGCTGGGGGATTGGGGGAATTATCCTCCCTCCGTGGTCCTTCTGCCTCCATCCACCTCCCATGGCACTGAGAAGGGGAACTTCATCCCCATTGGGACGCATTGCCCAGAGAAAGCCAATTCTGGGAGCATGGGATTGAGGATGGATTGTGCCGATCCAGAGCTCACCCAGGATGCGTCTATCCCCTGGGTGAGATAATCTAGCCTTCATTAACTTGGCGAGTTAATGAAAGCACATTCCACAGGCTGATTGAATGCATTTACCACTAACCACATCCATGGCTCAATGGGTTTGGGCTGGGTCTGGAGCAGCTTCCAGTGATGCAGAACAGGCACAGGGATCCCTGGAGGGAGGAGGTGAATCCCTAGGGCTGGAGAGAGCTGGAGCGGATGGAAGCACCCTCCTCACCCTCACCTGAGTGACCCCAAGCCAATCCCATGTCCTGTGTTTGGTGTCCTGTGTCCCTATGTCCCATACCTCACATCCCAAACCCCAACCCCGCGTCTCTGTCAGCACATGAGGCAATAACCTCCTGCCTCCAAGCCTGACATAAAGCAGGATCTGATGCTAGGAAAGCAGCACAAGAGGCTCAAAAGGGCTCTTTAGGAGGTTCCTGCTCCGGTTGGGTTTCCTGGTGGGAGGCCCCACTCACAGGGATGCTGGGATGCAGCTCTCCAGCCGCGATGCCATCGTGTCTGTTCCTATCTCATCACCCTGCTCTCACACAGGAGCAGCCATGAATCATCCTCCCTCCCCTGAGCATCCACAGGCACCAAAACCCCTCTGCAGCAGCCCCTCCGTGCCCCCTTTCCTCTCCATCCATGGGGGAATGTGGTGGGTTCCCATCGCATCCAGGCTCCCGACAAAGAGCAAGGTCAGGAGGAGCTGGCAGGGGGAAGGTTCCTCATCTGGAAACCATGATACAACCCAGTGAGGGGATGGGAAGGATCCATCCCACCACCCCAACCATGAGCACAAGGCAAATAACCAGGATTCCCAACCATGATTCCATGCTGCTGCTGGTTGGGAAGCCACCAAAGATGAGGTGGAGCAGGTCCCATTTGTCCTAGGAGCTGCTCCCGGATAATACTGGGAAGAAAACCCCCAAAAGCATCCAAAATATCCATCCAAACTGATGGACAAGGAGGAACCTGGTGGGACAGGAGTGGCTGGTGGTGATTATCCCATCTCCAGGCCACATCCCCATTGGACATCACACATGGAGTCGCACAATGTCACATCCTGTACAGCCCTGTGGTCACCCAGCAATGACCAAGGAACCAATGGATGGGGAAGGAGCAGGGTGATACCTGAGTGTGCAAAGAGCCTGAAACCAAGGGGACCTGCACCCGCTAAGGAGAGGGAGAAACTGATCCCAGGCATGGTGGTAACTGGGAAGCGACAGGGATCCGGGAAGGCACAACTGGGAATGTGCTGCAGGGAAGGAAAAGCTGTGAAGAGCAGGGAAAAGGGATTAAATAAGACAGAGGTGAAGGGGAGAGGTGGGAAAACAGAGGATGCAGGAGGAGGAGGGAAGAGGAGAGGAGACAAACGTGGTCCATGGGTGTGAATCTGCTCACTGAGTGATAAAGGCAGTGAGTAAGCAGGAAACAAGTGGACATTAGTCCCTATGGAGAGGGATTAATGTGGCTGTTCCGGCTCCATGGAGGTGACACTGGGACCAAGGCTGGGATACCAGGAAGAAGGACCCGCATCCAGCATCCAGCTCACCATGATGCTTTGTTCCTTACCCCAGCACCTCCTTGCATCTCCCACCAAGTAAAACCTGCTCCTGACCAAAACCCACCCACTCTGCTCCCAACAGATCCAAGAGGAATTCTGTTCCATGCTCCCCACGCACGGTGAGTGCCAAAGCACCACAGAGTAACAGGGGCTTCCCAAAACCAGCTCCTTGGCACAGGTAGGAGGCTGGAGCCAGGGCAGGTCTGGGAATACTGGATTTGCTTCCTATCTGAATCCATGGATCCATGTAGCTGCTTCCACAGGAGCCTCAGTGGCCAAGGAAGGGCAGACTGGGATGGCTGGGTTATTCCATCATTCCCACTTGGTTTGCACTGCAGCCCCTATTACAGACATCAACATTCCAAGCTCATATCCCTCCACACCAGCCAAACATCACTGGAGCAGAACCACAGAGCCAGGAATGTTGGGATGGGGAAGAGGTGCCCACCCAAGCTCAGGGTCCACAGGGATAGTCCCCATAGCATACCCATGGATGGAGCATCCATCTGGGAGCAGGAGAGTAAAGCCATAGGGACAGGGGAGCAACAGGGATGCAGGATCCAGGTGAGATCCATCCAGATTGTACTCAACCAACCACCCAATCCCAACAGCACCCATCCCGTGTCCAACCCCACTCACCCACCCTCCTCTGTGGGTGCTCCATAAGGACCTCAGATCCCTGTGGAAACCCTCCTGCATCCTACAAAGCCTCCCAGAGGCTTCCAGTGGAGCCAGAGGGTGTTTCCCATTGGGAAGATGCGCAAGGTCCTCCACTGAGGGCTGCCCTGAGCCCCCCTAAGCCCTAAACTCCACCACAAGAGAAAAGGATGGATGGATGGATGGATGGATGGATGGATGGATGATGGATGGATGATGGATGGATGATGGATGGATGGATGATGGATGGATGATGGATGGATGGATGGATGGATGGATGATGGATGGATGGATGGATGGATGGATGGATGGATGGATGGATGATGGATGGATGATGGATGATGGATGGATGGATGATGGATGGATGGATGATGGATGGATGGATGGATGGATGGATGGATGGATGGATGGGTGGATGGATGGATGGATGGAGAACAACGCAGCACCACGCACGCATCCCACCGGCCACGCTCCAAAGCAAGCACCGAGCCCCATCCATCCACATGGACATGGGATGCTCAACCCACCCCAGCCCCATTTCTGCTCCTTCCTTCCCTCCCCACATGGATCCCATAGGACTGATCCCACCACGGCCCTTACCTGGGTCTCGGAGAGGTTGAGCTGCCGCGCCAGCTCCGTGCGTTCCCGTCCCACCACGTACTGGCAGCGCTGGAATTCCAGCTCCAGGCGGTAGAGCTGCTCGGCAGTGAAGGATGTCCGCGTCCGCTTGGGCCGGTCCAGGTCCAGCCCCTTGGGAAGCACGATCTCCCGGATCGTCCCTTTGGCATCTGCGAGGGAAGAGGGGAAAAGGATCAGGAAAACGTTCCCATGAGGAAAACCGCTGGGATGGGGAGGAAAGGGACAGGGAAAAGGGTCCAAAATGGTGTTTGGTGGGTGCTGAACTCCCTCAAACTGGAGCTAGAAGAGGTGACATTCCATAATCCAGGATCCCCCCTGGCCCCAAATGCTGTGAGTTTATAACCTCCAGGGAAAGGTGAAAAGTGGGAATAATTTGGGGCGTTTAAGGGGATAAATAGAAATCAGAAAGGTTTTTAGGGAAAGAAAATGTTTAATCCCGGGAAGAACCATTCCTGAGAGCCAGAAAGCAAAGAAAATGGTAAATACCAAGGAACAGTTCAAATTAGGGCTTTATTTTAATTAAAAACATATTTTAATTGATATTTCTGCCCTTTCTTGGGAATACTGGGAAAAATCTGTCACCATTCCCTTCTCTCCAGAATCATTCCCACTGAAGGGCTAAATCCTTCGAGAGCAGCCCCTGTTCAATGAGAGGACACGGACACCGGAGGGTTTAGCTCCCACATCAGCCCACACCATGGGATGCTTCTCATGGACCTTGCAAAGGATGAGTGCTCCCCCAGGAAAAGCCCTGGAACCCCAAGGTGCTGGGGATCCCATCCCTGTTCCATGGGTTGGGATGTGTCCCGATGGGCTGGGATGTGGCACCAAGGATTAAAATGAGCCTTGGGTATTGCCCACCACCCCCAAACCCCTCATCCTCCTCCTCATTGTGCCAGCTTTCCTTAAGTAACTCCAATGCTGGAGAAGAGCCTGGATTTGGGAAGCTGCGGAGCTCCCCATTTCTTCCCAGTGGCTTTCCACTGTGGGCTCCATGCCCTGCTTCCAGGGCTGCTGGTTCCCAATCCCAAAGGAAGCCAAGCTCCCCGGCAGCCCCGGATGGAGGCAAGTTGCTTTCTCTCCTTTGGGCTGACTCAGACATGAAGGGATTATGGAATTACTGGGACAGGAAAGGGGACAATAGCGAGGAGCAGCCTGGGAAGGGGTGATGGAGATGGTGTGGGGACAGTGGGCACAGACACGGGATAGGGACCCCAATCCCAGAGCCAGCTCCCACCCTACATCACGGTACCCTCGGGCTCCGATCCGCACCCCAAAAGCCCACGGATGAGCACGGAGCTGTTGGAAAGGGATTCTTGGTGCGTTGGGGATTGGGAGATCCCTGCTGGGATCAGGGAACCATTTTGCAAGGGAAGAGCGCTTACAGGGATGCTGCCTGGACCACATCCATGCCCACGCTGTGGTCCCCAGAGCGGCAGCAGCCAGGGATGATGGAGACGCCCCAGCTGCATCCGCAGATGCAGGATTCATCCCCTCTATGATGTGGGCATTATTATGGGTATTATTTATTGTTATTCCCAGCCTTCCCAGCAGCTGGACACAGCTGGGAGGGAGGGGAAGGGATGGGAAGGGTTGGGGACACAGCCTGTGGTGCCAGCCTGGAATACAAGAGGCAAAACCCTCGCCGCAGCCCCTTGCCGCATCCCTATTGCACGGCGCAGCCCTTCCCTGCTGCCCATCCATGTGGATCTGGGGGGCTCAGAGCCATCCCCTTCCTGCCAGCAAGGTCACAACACCGCCATCCCTGAGGCACCCCATATTGGGATCCTATTGGATTCTACTGGATCCCAGACCCACGATTCCCACCCAGGGGTTTCCAACAGCCCTTAAGCGGGGCCTCAGGGACACGTTCACATCTTGGGGATCAGGCTGCCCCCAATGGCACCCAGGGCAAGGTTTGGGAATGACCCCCCAAATCAGCCTGGTGCCACGGGGATCCATCTCCCCTCCACCACAGCACTGAATACAAATAAGGAGGGGCAGGGGCGAGTTTTGGGGTACAGCCCCCCTCAAGGGCTGGGGAGCAGCGATTATAGAGCCCGCACTGCAGCAGGCCCGGAGGGACTCATCCTGCACATGAACACGTGCAGCAGAGCCCTGTACCCGCAGGAACAGCGGGGAGGGAGCACAGGACCCCCCAGCACCCCAATAAAGCACCGTGGGCCCTCCGGTTCAGCACCGGGAGGTGCAGGGGGGGGCCGGGGATCTGAACCCCCTTTTCGAGCCGCCCCTGAGGCTGCAATGGGACTGAAGCGGCTCCTTCAGCCGGACCAAGTCCCGTTAATCCCCTTTAAAGGCCGATCCGGTGCCGATCCGCACCCTCCGGTCGTACCCGTGTGCAGCGGCCCTGCCGCCTCGACGAGACGGGGATGGCCGCCCCACGGCGGAGGCTGAAGGCTCCGTTACACACACACCAGTGCCCGGTACGATCCCATACTGAGAGTAGGGGAGCACCGGGGACCCCCTCAGTGATGCCAGGGCATGAAGGATCCCACTGCTTCCTTCAGCTGGGCCCTGGCGAAGGCGGAGGCTGCTCCGAGAGCCCCGGTACCCACCAAAGCCATGGCGGGTGAGCACTGGGAACGGGATGGAGAGGGAAGGAAATGGCTCGGGATCAGCCCTAGCTCCCAAACCATGTTATATATAATATATAACACATAGTATATAATGTATAATATATCATATCCGTACTCTACATCTCACAGATGTATACATGAAATCAGTAAGAATAAAACCACCCCGCAGAACATGAACCTGGAGACGCCGCCCCGGCACCGACCCGTTCCCGAGAGCATCACCCAGTGGTCCCCATGGGTCCCTGTCCCCCCCAGAGCGGGCATCCCCGCCGCATCCCCCCCGCCGCACCCCAGCCCCGTGCCCGTTCCTTGGCTCCGTTCCTTGCCCGCCACCATTTTGTCGCCGCCGTAGCGGCTGCAGTAAGATGGTGAGAGCCGCCGGTCCCCGGGGCCGGGACGTGTGGGCACCCGGGGCCGGGCTCCGGGAGGGACCCCCCGGGCTGGACCCGTCGGGGCGGCCCCGGTGGGGATGGGGCTGGAGGAGGAGAGGCCTGACCCCATCCTGACCCCGGTGGGGATGCGGTAACCGGTTGGGCCTCGGAGACCACCGGGAGCACGGGTGGGGACATCCCGGGATACCGGGGGGGGGATCCCCAGAGCCACCCGCACCCCCGCCGAGGTGCCCAGGGAGGGTTCGGGCTGCACCAACGGCGCTGTCGGCGACAGGCGCCTATCGCGACAGGCGGGAGAGAGGCTTCGGTGAGCGGCGGTGCTGGTTGCAACGGTGCCAGGCTGCAAACGAACCCGGCTCAGGCCCCGCCGGCCCCGGGCGCGGAGAACGAACACGGCCGAGCCGGGGCCGCGGCTCCGGTCCCTGCCCGAGCTCGGGGCTCGGCGGCGGAGCAAAGGCCGGGCGGCCTCGGCGCTGGTCACCGAGCGGCCGCGGAGCTTCCCCGGGCCCCAGCTGGGAAACGGCGGCGGAAAAGGGGGGACCGGAGTGCCGAGCATCGCCGGACGGAGCCGCGCTGCAGCTCCGAACCGGGGAGCGCTCGGCGCCCGCCGCGGACCCCCAGCTTCGGGGGGTCCCCACAAACCCAGCGAGCCCCGGGCCGGTGGAGGGTGATGGAGGGCGGAATGCACCGGCCCCGGGTCCCGGCGTACCGGGCCCGTTGGGTCCCTCATCCCCGGGCGAGCGAACGGTGTTATAAAGGGGAAAATAACCTAAATGTATATATATATGTGTCTATACATAACCCCTCTCTCGCCGCCGCTCCATGACGCTTTTCTCCTGCGACAACGGTTTAAAAGCGGAGCCGAGCTCTCGCACCCCTCTCCCGCTGCCCGCGCGTCCCCCCGGGGGTCCCCGGCCCGGTGCCCCCATCCCCGCTCGGCCCCGGAGCCGCTCGGCGGAGCGGGCCCTTTGCACGGAGCGGAGCCGGAGGGAGCCGCGGTAGCGGCGGGGCCGGGAGGCCGGGGCTCGGAGGCGGCCAGCGCCTGGCAGCGGCCGGGGATGGGCTGGAAGCGGGGCCGGGGGTGGCGGGGACCGAGTTCCCCATCCCGCTGTCAGCCGCGGCGGGGAGCGCAGGACCGGGGTGCCCCCGGTGTGGGAAGCGGGGCCCGGGGCCGCTGCCCCCGTACCTCGCACCAGGATGCGGCGGCAGTAATCCGCCTCGCCGGGTCCCGCCGGGCTCTCGCTGTCCGGGGCGCGCTCCTTGGAGGAGCCGGGGCTGACCGACGACGTTCCCGGGATGTCCTTGAAGCCGCCGCCGCCGCCGCCGCGTAGGGCGCTCTCCAGCTCCGCCCGGGTCGGTGCCTTCTCCCGGGCCCGCCCGGTAGCGGAGGGCTCGGCCCGCAGGACGGGGCTCCCGCCGGGTTCGGCCCCTCCATCGCTCATCCCTGCGGGCGCCGCGCCGGGATCCAACATCGGGAGGGAGAGAAGGAGACAGAGGGAAAGGGAGAGAGGAGGCGAGGCTGGGCGGGGGGGGGGGGGGGGGAGGCGGGGAGGGGAGCCCCCCCCCAGACCCCTTCCCCTCCCCGCCCCTCTCGGCCCCCCTCCCCGGGGCTCACCCCCATAGCCGGAGACCCCCGGGGCCGTCGCTCTCTCGCCTGTCGGCGGCGGAACCGGCTCTCTCCCACCCGAGGGGGGGCTGGCATTTAAAGCGCACCCCCCCCTTTCCCCGCTCCACCACCGAGGAGGAGGGGGGGACCCGGTCCCCGTCGGAGCGTCCCGAGAGGGGGTTAAAAAGGAGTTTAAAACTTTGACAACCGCTTAAAGCCCCCCCCTCGAAGCCCCCTCCCCAGCTCCGCCTTCCGCCCGCACCTCGCTCCGGGCGAACTTCAGCCGCTCCGGTCGCCGCCGTTGCCCTTCCATGGGGCGCCGGGACCGGGGCCGGCGGGGAGAAGCCGCCTGTGCCCGGTCTCGCTGCGCTGCGCTGGGATTCGTGTGCGGGGAAACCAATACCGGGAGGTGGGGAGAGGCGGAGGGGGGGGTTTTAAGGGGAGGAGAGAGCTGCGGAGGAAGCAGCCGGGGGTGGGACCGGACAAGCGGCGGGTTCCCCCCCCCGATGCCCGCTCTCCGCTGCGCATCCCCGGCCCCGGGAGCGGGCGGCCGAGCCCCGCCGCTAAGGGAGAGGTTCGGGGGCAGCCGAGGGGCGACTTTGCCTTCACGGCCCTCACAGACGCAGTTTCCAACCGGTTGGCAAACAAAGAGCCCCGGCCCCGGGGGTACCCCCTTGTCGGGGCGCTCAACGAGGGGAGCACCCGAAGGTGTGGAAACGAATAAAGCGATAACCGGGTACCGGCTCTGCCCGCGCCCCTCGGAGCGCCGAGGGGGGATCCTGTCCCTCTTCCCACCGTGTGCCCCCGTAGGCCGAGGGTCCCCGTTGCTACCGGAGTTACCCCATCGCCTCCCCGGGGTCGGGCCGAGGGGGAGCCCCGCATCCCCTCCCTGCTCTCGGCAGCTGCATCCCATCTCCGAGCCGCCTCCGGTACCAGCACCGGGACCTGGAGCTGGGTGAGCGGCTCCCCGTGCCCAGCTGGAACGGACGCGGCTCCGGGCACCGTTCACAGGCCGGGGATCCCCGTTTCCAAAGGGGAAAACGGTGCAAAACCGGGTGCTTGGAGTGGGGGGACGGACGGGGGACACCTCTCTTGGCCTCAGCCCGACCCCTCAAATGGGAGCGGTTGTGACTGACGGTGAATTGAAATCTATCAATTGGCCGTTGATGCAGCTGCAGCATCCCCAGCTCTCACCCCCCAGCACACTGGGGTCCGACACCCTCGACATTGGGGGTACCGGAGGGGGGCCGGGCCGAGCCGGATCCACCAGGGAAGAGCTCGGCGGAGCCAGGGTCGGGCTTCGGGCAACGCCGGAGGGTTCAAGGCCTCCAAATTTGCCCTTGGGCCAGGGTGGGCCCGAGCGTTCGTGCCTGCGGCGGCCTTTGCCCATCCTGGAATAACGGGAGCAGCGCGGAGAAGGTGAAAATAGAGGAAAGGAAGAGATAAAATAAAAGGAGGGGAATGAGATAAAAGAGAGAAAGGAAAATAAAGGGGTGGGGGAGAAGATGGAGGGAAAGAAAATTAAACGGGGGAAAACGAAAACAAAACGGAAAAATAAAAGGAGGGATGGAAAATTAAAGCGGGAAAGAAAATAACGGGGAAACAAGAAAAAGAGGAGGAATAAAAGGGGATAAAGGGAAATAAAATGGGGGGGGGGGGATCAGATGAAAAGGGAGGAAAGGAAAATAAAACAAACGGAAAAGGCAGAGTGGGGAAGAGCGGGAGGACGGGCCGAGGGTGAGCGGGATGGAGCAGCCGGTTTCGGGTAGGGACTGGCGGCTGCAACCGGTTCCCTGCTCCCGGTTCCCCGCTCCTGCTTCCCCGTTCCCCCTTCCCGGTTCTTCGCTCCCGGTTCCTCGCTCCCGGTTCCCCGCTCCCCGTTCCCCGCTCCCGGAGCTGCAGCCAGGCCCGGGCTCCGCTCCCATCGATGGCTCCTGTGCCTTTGGGCAAACGATTCCTAACGAAAGCCGGGACCAGGCCCCGCCACCCGCAGCACCCCCTCTCCCAAAGTCCCTCTGCAAGGCCCAGGCACCGCTTTAACGCTTGGGGACGGCTCCGGACCGGTCTCCAGTGAGGAACCGGCGGGGGAGCCGCCTCGTAACGAAATCTCCTCCCTCCGCCGAGCCCGAGCACCGGCCTCGCAGCCCCGGTGAGTGCCGGCCCCGCCGCCCCGGCCCGGTTCTCCCGTGATGGGCGTTAATGGTAAAGGCGAAGGGATTTGTTCTGCGTGGGTCTGAGATCTCAGGGGGCAGCGGAAGGGAAATGCGGGATCCTAAATCCCGCCGTGGTAATCGTTATTAATGATAACAACAAATTATACTGCTCCGCTGTCAGCATTCGCGTTGTTGATCTTGGATTTGCGTTGTTATTATCCTCCTCCTCCTCCTTCTTTTCGTCTTCCTCTTTCTTTTCCTTTTCTTCCTCTTCTTCTCCTCGTTTTCCTTCTTCTTCTTTATTATCACCAATATTACCATTAAAATTGTTATAATTATTATTATCGTTACCATTCTTGTTATCATCATTATTATCTTTATTGCTCCGATTCTCTCTCTCCCTCCCGGGCCGTACGGAGCAGGGCCGACCCCGGCAAGCCCATCCCGAAGGAAGCAGCCCCGGTTTCATCCCCGGTTCAAGTCCCTGCTTCAGCCGCCGTTCCAGCTCCTCGCCGCCTCCCGACACCGACACCGACACCGGCCGCTGCCGGCTCCCCCCGCTCCCCCTCGTTTTCCCGTTTTAATCCCTGGAGAAAGGCCCCGGAGCTCGCGGGCCCGGCACCCCCGGCTCGCTGGAACCGAAGGTAACGGAAGGCCGGGCCGGTGCGGCCGCGTTTCCCCGGGCCCACGGCCCACACCGGCGGCCTGCGAGCCCCGGGCCCCGGGGATGGGGATGGAAACGTTCACCGGGAGCGGAGCCGCCGAGCTCGGGGAACCCTCCTCATCCTCACGGAGAAGGACCCGGTGTTACCGAGGGTCCCCAAGGGATGTTGAGGGTCCCCGGTGCCGCGGTAGCATGGCCCGGGCCGAGGACTGGGAGGGAAATGGAACGGGAACGGGGGAACGGGTAGGGGGGTTGTGTATGAACATAGGGGAACGGGAACGGACAAGGGACAAGAGGGAACGGGAACGGACGAGGTGGAACGGGCACGGGATGTGTGCATGGATACGGGGAGGCTGTGTAAGGACACGGGGGAAAGGGAACGGGCACTGGGACCCGTGTGAAAACACGGGGGAACCGTGCAGGGACACGGGGTAACGCTGATGGGCACGGGAGGGACTGTGCGGGACACGGCGGGGCTGCTCATGGACAGGGAGGAGCCACGTGAAAACACGTGCGGGTTGTGCAGGGATACGGGGAAAGATGCGTGGATGCGGGGCACACGGGCACGGACACGGTGTAAGCGTGCATGGACACGGTGTAAGTGTGCAGGGACACTGTGTAAGTGTGCACGGGCAATGTAAGTGTGCACGGACACGGTGTAAGTGTGCACGGGCAGTGTAAGTGTGCATGGACACGGTGTAAGTGTGCACGGGCAGTGTAAGTGTGCACGGACACGGTGTAAGTGTGCACAGATACAGTGTAAGTGTGTATGGACACAGTGTAAGTGTGCACAGATACAGTGTAAGTGTGCACGGACACGGTGTAAGTGTGCAAGGACACGTAAGGTGCACAGACAGTGTAATGTGCCGACACAGTGTACTGTGCACAGACAGTTAAGTGTGAGACACAGTGTAATGTGCACGGACACGGTGTAATGGACGCAGTGTAATGCGCCGACACAGTGTAAGTGCAGACACGTGTAAGGCACGCAGTGTAATGGCACGGACACGGTGTAACACAAACAAACACAAAGCACAGAACAGTGTAAGTGTGCAGGGACACTGTGTAAGTGTGCACGGGCAGTGTAAGTGTGCACAGGTCCAGTGTAAGTGTGCAAGGACACTGTGTAAGTGTGCACAAGCACAGTGTAAGTGCGCTCGGACACAGTGTAAGTGTGCAAGGACACAGTGTAAGTGTGCACAGACAGTGTAAGTGTGCACAGTGTAAGTGTGCACGGACTTGGTGTAAGTGCACGGACTGTGTAAGTGTGCACAAACACAGTGTAAGTGTGCTCGGAAACAGCCTAAGGGTGCACGGACAGTGTGAATGTGCACTGGTGTAGTGTAGCTGTGCTCGGACCGTCTGAGTGTGCACAGGCACAGTGTAGCTGTGCACGGACACGGTGTAGATGGGCACAGACCCGGTGTAGATGGGCACAGACACTGTGTAGACGTGCACAGACCCGGTGTAGACGGGCACAGACACGGTGTAGATGGGCACGGACACGGTGTAGATGGGCACGGACACGGTGTAGATGGGCACAGACTCGGTGTAGATGTGCACAGACACGGTGTAGATGGGCACAGACGCGGTGTAGATGGGCACGGACACGGTGTAGATGTGCACGGACACGGTGTAGATGGGCACGGACACGGTGTAGATGGGCACAGACACGGTGTAGATGTGCACAGACACGGTGTAGATGGGCACAGACACGGTGTAGATGGGCACGGACACGGTGTAGATGGGCACAGACACGGTGTAGATGGGCACAGACACGGTGTAGATGGGCACAGACACGGTGTAGATGGGCACGGACACGGTGTAGATGGGCACAGACACGGTGTAGATGGGCACGGACACGGTGTAGATGGGCACAGACACGGTGTAGATGGGCACAGACACGGTGTAGATGGGCACGGACACGGTGTAGATGGGCACGGACACGGTGTAGATGGGCACAGACACGGTGTAGATGGGCACAGACCCGGTGTAGATGGGCACAGACCCGGTGTAGATGGGCACGGACACAGTGTAGATGGGCACGGACACGGTGTAGACGGGCACAGACCCGGTGTAGACGGGCA